TTCTGCTTTACCACTCAGAAATAATACTTAAGTGAATTTTGTGGCATGGGCTATAATTTCACATCATTTTGAGTTTGTTAACTTCTTTAGAATATGTTCACTTTTATCTGGTTGCATGTGTAGTTTCCCTTTTATTTTTTGTTTATTACCTCTGTCTTTAAAATATATTGCACTCGCATTCTCTACATTGATTATATATTGTTTATGAAAATGATTATTTAGACAAAATAATGCATAAGACAATTAACATTGTATAACATTACAGAACTAATTCTAGAATGGCTACTATGTGGAAGGCTATAAAATACAGCATTTTTAAAGTAAATAATGGAAGCATATTTCTATCGTAGTTATATGAGAACTGAATAATATCAGATTATAGTATAGTTAGTTATACGAGAATATCTGAAATAATATTTTCACAAGCATACACATAATGTTTCAATACTTGGGTTTTCAAAGCAGAAAAAGTTATAAAATAATACACATTAAGAAATAAGTGTCAAAAGTAGCTAGTCATCTGATACATACGTAGATTATATGAGCAGGAATGTGATATATTAATACATATATAAAATTGGATCGAAAAGTAATTGCAATGCGTTTTCGTAATAGACGCACATTACTCGACTTTTAATGCTAGTTTAGAAACATAACAGAACAAAATTAGCAATCAGATACATAACAAATATAAGCACATCTTAATCCCGTTTTTCCCTATGTATTTTCCTTTTCTCCCTAGCACCTATTCCCCACATGATATTTACTTCCGTTGGCATAATGAAATGTCGCCCATATCCTTAAAGGAGCCAAGTTGGCGCAAACAAGGCTGTTCTCCGAACCTTATCCGAACCAAACCAAAGCAGACAGAGAGAGAGAAAGAGAGAAGGAATGAAGAAAAAATATATTTGGGAGGGAAGGTACAAAAAATTCGTTTAACTGCGTAGGACCTTTAAAAGTCCTAATCCGGCTGTGCTTAAAAGGGATCCATGATGACTAAGTGTCGACCACGGAGTATAATCATACTCCGTGGGGTCGACCAATAATAATGGCCCGGCAATTGATCGGCATAATCAAGATCCCATTCGTTAACAAAATTATTAATAAGATTAATATTTTTTATTAATATAAAGCTGTATCATATGGTAAGAGAAAAAATCAATAATACTTTTTTGATATTTGAATTTTTATGCAATAGGTACATTATAATAAGGTAAATCGCAAGAAAACACATTAAGAAAATTACGAAGAAAGCACAGTTGTAGTGGAAAATAAAAAACAGATTGAATATATTCGAATGCTATGATTTAAAAAAATAAATTAAGCAATTTTTGCCAAATATTAAAACACTTACATCAATACATGAAGTACAGCCACCACATTAATTAAAACTGAATTTTTGTTCAATTAGAACCTGTGATTTTGTGTTTGAAAACCTGTTTACATTTCAAAATTTATAATAATAATAATACCAAAAAAAATTACGTCCAAAGGGGTGTTTTTTTAACGTTTTATGTGTTACCTTTATTTACTAAATATCATTTTCTCTGCACTTAAACCATAAAATTCAGTTTAATAGCAATGTTGCAAAATAATTTTAAAATGAGCATATCTTTAGAATTTCCGATACACAGTTCCGCGAGATGGAGAAAAAAGTTTTTTTTTTTTTTCCGTATAGTTTTGCCATTGCTCGCTTTTAAAATGTTGAGTTTGTTAATCAAAAATTCGTTAACGTCTTACAAAATATAAAATTGATAATAAAACAAATTCCAAATTTCAAATTCGGTCTTTCAGTTGTCCATATTCGCAGTAGGATTACGTCAATCAATACTGGATGGCTCTAGATACCGTTGTTTTATCAAAATGCTAGAAACATGCACACATTTAATTCTACATTTTTAACTTATTCAAATGTAATACAGGGCGATATTATTTGATGGCTACGATTTGAAAAGTGTACAGCCTTTTAAAGTTCTCAACGCAAAATCGCAAAACGAAAACAATAGTCCTTCAGGGACAAAGCCCCTTTGGACTAATAACTAAGAATGAATCTAATAACTATTTTCACAAAACCTTTGTTCATATTCTTAATGTAAATGTTATCTTTAATTTATTTATATGGAATTATTTGATTTATGATTACGTTCGGCATGGCATTTATATAGAAAAAAGTGAGGGGGGGGGTTCAATGCAAGAAAATAATTAGGAATCCCTGGCTGTAAAGCACGATTCTTCCCACATGGATTAAATTATTTCAATAGCTTCTAGGACCAAACGTCAGAAAAGTGCTTCCTAAGTGCAACCTATTGCTATCAAAATGCAGGGGGAAGAAGAATTATAGGGGAAAAAATGGGGTCCTAATGAAGTGCAATGCTTAAATAAGCTAGTCGGAAGAAGAAAATGTGACAGGAACCCTCTTTTGCCAATGACAGAGATGAAGTTCTATTCTGAGTCCTTGTCAAGGTGAAGACTATAACCTATCCCTATAAGGAAAATTTTTGGAATTGTTACAACTGTCTCACAATTGCTCGATTTCTTTTTGATGATTCTGATGGCCTTCTTAAAACTATTGAGTTAATTTAACAGAGTATTATTTGATTATGGTAATTTTTGAATTGCTAATTTCTCCGCAAAATAATGTAGGTGTAATATTAAGAGTCTTGGTAGGTACAATTTGGCTTTAAGGATATAGACGACATATTATGGGGGAAAAGGGATTAAGAAGTGCTTATTTTGTTTATAAACTGAGACCTAATTTGGTTCTGTTATCCAACTAAATTAATATTAAAAGTGAAGTAATGTGGATTTATGAAAAGAATGTAGGGCAATTACTTTTGGATATGATTTCATATATGTATTAATGAATCCCTTTTCTGCTCATATCATCTACATACGTATTATATAATTAGCTAAATGTTCTGCTTTTGGTTGTGTTCCTACTTCCATTTCCATTACTTTATTCTTGCTCCCCATAGATACAGTAACAGCAACTAAAATTGCAATTCGATGCTGCTTCTATTGCGTACAAGCATAGCTAGTTGCGTCTTCTGACCTCAACAGTAATTCGAAATTTTATTTAATTGTTTATGAGATTTTCTTCTACAGCTGAAACGTAATCTTTTTAGTTAAGTTAATGTTTGTTCGAAACAGAGATTTTTTAATCTCTTGCAAATACGAATCGAGCTTCAAACAAGTTCTTTTAGCTATTTGCCGAATCATAACAAGATATATTTGTCCAACAGGAACCAATTGTCGCCACGAACGCTGTTCTCCGAGCAAGAGAGATGGTGTCCAATTCCAATTGCTTTCGCTCGCACTTGGTTTCAACTACACAGAGTTATTACCAAAAGTTCAGAGTTGCCAAAGGCCATTCACGGTAGTAAAATAAAAGAGATGTACTTTAGGTACATCTGTCACTCGGAGGCGTAAAAAACTTTCAGAGCTTGGCATTCCTTGTCGTGGTGGCAAATGTTGCATTCAAAAATAACAAAAGTCGTAATTATAAAACACAGAAAAAAGCTGAAAACTATTTACATAAATACAACTACCAAGACGGGTTGTGACGTATGGTGCGGGGTCTTTTGACCACATATTCAACAATAGGGTCATAATCGCACAGGCTTCTAATAGAAGCGTAGGAAGAGGTTCTAAGGCTTTCAAAGAAATTATGCGAAGGGATCAAAATTTGTTCATGCATGGCCTTCACATTCAGATCCTCCTGAATTTGAGAGTTCCTCACAAACTACGATGAGTTCACAATCGCTCTAAGTATTTTATTTTGTATTATGTCTAGTTTAGCACGCTCAGTCTTGTTGGCTGTCGCCCCTGTGTATAACATAATCTGTCTGATTAAGGACAGATACTGTGTTCTTTTGATTTTTATCGATAAGTTAGACTTCCTGCCAATCAAGCTGTAAAGGGCACAGAACGCAGCATTCGCTTTTTCCGCTACGGCTGTAACATGGTATTTAAAGGTGAGCTTACTATCTATAATACCTCCTAAATACTTAAAGGAGTCAGCCATCGGAACCGTATAGTTTTTAATTTTGATATCCGTATTAACAATTACATTCTGCCTGTAGCGTCTGTAAAGCGCAACACAGCATTTACTAGAATTTAAATTGATTTTCCAATCCTCGCACCATTTCGTAACGATATTTACTTTGAAATGCAGTTTTTCCATTGCAAGAGGCGGGCTGACAGAATCCGTAAGTACGACCGTGTCGTCGGTGTATTTTAGAATCTTGGAATCCAAGGGATTAGATGGTGTAATTTAAGTAAATAAAATAAAAATGCCAATGCCAGCTAAAGCAATGAGAAAGCTCGCAAAATCTCTCTCAAGATCCAGCAAATACGCTTAGACTTTTGATATGCAGTTCAGGATTGAAAAATAATTCATGACAGATCAGTAACCAAGCATATTTATAATTTTGATAAAAAAGAAACAAAATTAAAATATTTATCAAAATGAAAAGAGGACCTGGGAGTGTCAAAAGGTCTACAAAATAAAAATAAATAGATTAAAAACTAAAAAATAAATTCATTAGAAAAAAGTACTATTCGTTTAAAACGTCAGCCTGCTCATAGAATTTATTCCCAAATTATCATAAAATATCCTAAAAGACATTATTATTTATCTTGAGAATATTGTAAAATATTGGGATCTGCTGAAATTCTAATACCTTTTCAATAATTTTAAAGAAAATAATTTTTGAGAGTTATCAAGAAGTTAGAATATTACAAAGCAATGACTTTTACATAAAACTGACGCATTAATTATGCTATTATCAAAATATTTAAAACGTTCTTTATGACCTTGTACTTGAATGATTCGACCTCCACCTATCTGTAAATACAATATCATACCCAATCACACCAATACAAAAGCCAACCCACACACAGAGCACAGTTTTATTTTGAATCACTGATCTTGCGTAGGTTTGAACTCCTTAAATCGTCCAATAAAAATCGTTGTTGTGGTTCCTCAGAACACGAGGTGCTGTTTCCATTTATGGTTTGACATTAAATGCTAGGGAAGCGATGGGTTGATCTGGAGCCACACCTGTGTAATTTGTGTGGTTAAATTTCTGTTTCTTTTCACTTTAATTTTTATCTCTTAGGATATCACTGATTTGCTGAATTTTGTTTTGTGCTTTTGATATTTGTTTATATCTCGGAAAATGTCAGTTTTTCATACCAAGACCATACAGAGTATCTTAGAACCTGTAGCTCAACAAGTATGTTTTTCATTTAGCAAAAGTTTTCTGAATTATAGAATTTTGAAGGCTTATCAAGTGTAAGAGTAAAAACGAACAGTTTTCCTAGTAGAAATACTTTTTGATATGTTAGATTGTCATTTTAAAAGAAAGTGAACGAAATAAATATTTTGTAATTTCATGCATATTTCTCATCAAATTTAATGTAGGTTCCGAGAAGTACTAAATTAATGTATAAAATTAATATATAAATTGTGAGCAATCTTTTTGTTTCTCCTAGCCGTTTATCCTTTTTTTTTTAAAAAAAAGGAAGGAAGTCTTTTGGTATCCAGAAAAAAGCATATGAGACATATCAAACACCTCTGTGAGAAATTATGCCATGCACTATATTTATATTCGGTTTTCGTCTAAAATATTAATAATTTTAAGTTAATACATTGTAAATTTACCATCATACTGATAAAGTTTTTATTTCTTTACAAGGAAAGATCTTTTTCATTTATGGAAAACTGAATGTCGATTTTAGTTTTTCACATTTAATTAGCACATTTTTCTCAGTTACGTTGTAATATAATTTTTCTTTTTTTTTGTGACTATATTTTGAACCCCCCCCATTAAAAATTTGAAAATTTAAAGTATGCATTCTTATTTAGATATTGGTGAAATAGCTATAAATCAGTCAATTTGTTTTGCATACTATATTTAATCAATTTTTATGGCTAATGTGAGTAAAGTAGGCTTTAGATGGTTAACGTGAAATAGTCATTTTTTGTTATTCTGTATGTAAATTTGTATTTAATTTCTTCCACATTATTTTCTAAGCATTAAAAATTTCAGAGATATGTTGTTACTCCTGACTGAATCAAATGTAATGTAAGCTAGTGAATCAGTTTAGATATTAGAGATTTTAAATTTAATATATGATTTAATCAGCTAAGTGTATCAAATGTGTGTGTATTTTTGAAAAAATCTTTTGAATAATTTTGATATTTTCCTTACAGGTTTCTAGGTTGGTAATACTTCATGAAGAAGCTGAAGATGGGAATGCCATGCCTGATTTGTCAAGACCTGTACAAGCTGTTAGCAGAGCAGTTGCAAATTTGGTTAAAGTTAGTATAATGTGTCTTTATGAAACATTTCAGATTTTATTCAGATATTTAACCAGTTATTGGATGATTTGATTATTGAATTGTTTGGATATAGCATGCCAATTAAAATTGATGTTTTAGATCCAAAATGTTAGTCTTAATTGAAATGTGTTAATTAATTTTGCAGGTTTCTGAATAAAACTATTTGCCATGTAGTAATTAACTTTTTTTTGAAAATATTTGAATATTTTAAAGAAGTTAAGATAATGCTTATTATTATTTCTAAATGCAGCAGATCGAGCAACACTTATGTGTTGACTGCTTCTAAAATTGTCAGTTTGCATCAAAATGTCATGATAGATTGTCGGTAAATTTTTTCCTTCGAGGTGTAACCATCAGCCTTTTTCATTGTCTAAACACTTGCTCAATTTTTTTGAGTATGTTCTGTATTAGTTATTTTTCTGCTTGATCTTAGGAATTTGCCAGATAAGAAAGTGGGAGCAGTCTATTTTCTTTTTTAAGACTTGGAATTTATTTAATTATGGCAGAGAACATAAGTTGATTTGGTTATGGCTGTTCGCCTCTGCTTTTTTCCAGAATTGTGAAATTTTGCTGAATGTTCTAATATCCAGATAGTGGAATTCTACATGATTAAAGAAAATACATTACAGACACTCGGCCTTGAATGCATAGATGGATATTGAGAACAATGGTAAACTCGAGGTACTTATCCATTAGCCAGACAGAAATGATTTATGCATTTTCGTCTACCTATTGAGATATCAAAAAGTCACCAAATTAATAATCATAGAGAAACATCTAAATAAAAAAACAGTTTGCTGTGCCACTCTGCCATAGTAAACTGAAGTAATTATATGTGTTTCATTTTAAAAGGGCCCACCAGCGGCTGAGCGGTAAAGTCGCTGAACACTGGTAGTTCGGTCCGAGGTTGGAATCCCGCGAACGGGCTGGCTGCATGGGCGTTTTCGTGGTTTTCCCCATGTGTAATGTGTATACGAGCCAGTTTCCCTTAGAAAGTCCTCCACGAAGGCATCCCTTCACGTAGGCAGATAGCCCTCGTGTGCTTTGCCATAATTAAATACACCATACACACCATAAAAATTAAAAATTGAGATATTTATTATTGATACCATTTTAAAAGTATCAATAATAAATATCTCAATTTGATCATCAAAGTGGATAAAAGATTGTTTATTAAATATGAGAAAGCTACTTCTGTATGTTGCTAAGAGAATTAATGAGTACTTTCTATCTGAAACATCTAATCCTTAAGATGAAAAATGTGTAATATATTCAGATTCTTGGAAATTACATAATTGTATTAGAAACAGGGTTAGCCTATATTTAAGGCTGTCTTTTAGATTATCGCAAAGTTGTTGTTTCATTTATGGTAACCGGAGTAGTTGAATGTTATGGAAATCCTATTATGATGTAATTGGTTGTGTGATTGCAGTGAATTTGACTGATGGGAAAAGATTTGTAAGAGCTTGTTTGTGTGTTGGATGTTGATTAGGAAGTACATTGCTTATATTGTGGTTTACATGGTAAAATAGCTGAATGTGGCAAGATTAATTTGAAGTTTCTGTATGATTTTGAACAAAAGGGGGAAAAAAAGCATTATTTGACTAGTATGTAAATGAAGGTTTACTGAGTAGCCATTAGAAGTGTCCTGTTTGTATTAAAGAAATGTGTATGGTCGTACATAAAGATCATAGAAATGACTTTGAATGGGTTTATCGCAAGAAAAGTTCAAATGGTCCATTATAAAACATTCCATTAGAAAGAGAACATGGTTTGAGGAAAGTTTTTGGATGCTGTTAAGGAATTTTGTGTGCCACAGACTGAAGACAATGGAAATTTCTTAATAAGGTAAGTGGATATTTCCTTTGTGTAGTGCGTGGATGCGATAGTAGTGCATATTGCTTTTTCATGTTATTTCATTGCTTGATTTAAAATGTAGTTTATTGAGATTATATATATTTTGTTTGGCTCTAGAGTAGAATTGGATACTCCTTTGATTTTTAAGTGATAATAGATAGATGTATACATGGACAAAATGCCGAGTTTGTGCAATTCTGTGATTTTTTTTTTTTTTTTTTTTTTTTTTAAAGGGAAAATAGGTCAATGGATACTGAGTTTGTGCAGTTCTTTGACTTGTTATTTTGGCTGCTATGCCAATTTTCACCAAAGATCACCCGTAAATATATTTTTACCAGAAGTAGTGGGACTTCACAGTATGGGAGTTAACTTAGTCACTTTCACAGAGCATTCTAGTTTCTTAGTTTAACAAGGGTACCATATTTAACTACTGATCAGGTATCATTTTGCTGAGGGCCCATCAGTGGCTGAGCATTAACGTTTCTGAACACTGGTAGTTCAACCTGGGATTGAATCCCAGTGAACGGGCTGGCTGCGTGGCTGGCTTTGGGGTTTTCCCCATGTGTAATGTTGATGTGAACCAGTGTCCCTTGAAAATCGTCCACAAAGGCAACCCACTTTATCGGCAGATAACCTTCAAGTTGCTTTGACTTAATCAATTAACCTCACCAACTTTTTGTTAAGTATTATAAATTCATTTTAAGAAAGCTTTATTATTTTTACAACAGCTGTTAGATTTATTTATTGTTAAAGGAGAGATCTAGGCAGAATCCATCTGATATTTATGTATGAAAGAGAAGAGGTAGCCTTTAAAGTTTTGTCTGTACCAGCCAGTCACCTGTATCCAATGTGGAGACTTATGTGTATTAGTAAAAATTGCCAAATTTTCAAAGTGGGCCAAACTATGGCAATTATGCATATAACAACTCTTCAGTTTTAACAAGCGACGTCATTTTTATATGTGTTCTTTGCGTTTAAACAAATTATGATATTTTTTGCTTTAAATTAAATTTTATTGTAAGCATTTATAAGATTTGCCTGCAGTGGAAGAAAGTACTGTAAAATATTTTGCAACAATATAGTATTTTGCCATAAATTTGTTAAAAGGAACAATTGCTTTCAATACATTCTTAAAGTGATTGCAGTGAAATTTCTACCAGAATAAAAGAAACAGAAACCTGTTTGTAAGTAGGTTTAACCGATCATCAGGATAACTACCAAATTAAAATATAAATTATGTATGCATGCAATAAATAAAGTACTTGCTTCTTAAATTGGCTACCTCAGTCATTCACAAAAATTAGTCATCCGAATTGTGAAACTTAATAAATGACTAAGATTTTTAATGTGCAACATTTAATTTTGAGATTTTTTTTTATTATGAAGTTGTTCATGTGATATTATCGATTTGATATTTTTCTTCCTGTGAAATGTCTGCCATTTTAAATTTATAATCGGATGGAAAAGAAACCAATTTTTTTGTGACTAATTGTAACATGCAGCATATTTGTTTTCATGCTTAATTTAGACCATAGTTTCTCATTCCTTTGTTACTACCCCCTTTCTAAAAATGTTGGGAATTTTTTAACTTTCTTTCAAATAGAAGTTAAGCAGTACTTTTTTCATGATATTGTTAATTCAGTTTGTATTCTTAACTGTTTTTTCCCCCTCTAAAATGTTATTCAATTTAGCAATAAAATTGCAGGTGGTTTCTCAACTTAACTATATCATGATAGTAAAATTTATAGCAAAGTTGGTTTCACATTTGTTGTCTTCAGAAATAGTCTTAAATTCGAGCACTTTCAATTTAGAATTTGAGACGCACTGTTCGACCTTCTGAATTTAAACTTCATCATCAAATAGATCACTGAACAAAATAGTGCTATTTCAGATTATCTTATTTGAACCGATCCCCTTTCATCCTTGGAGACTCTAAAATGTATTTGTTCTTCAAAATAACACAATCATCAAGATTCAAAGACAACTTAGAAACCTGAAAGATAAAAACATTTTGTTTTCTTTTGCATTTGTTCGTGGGCACATAGGTTAATATTCTTGGAAAGACTGTCCCCAAGCCTGAAATGAACGTTTTTGTCAATATCCTTAAATCCTTTTATAAGAAGGTCATGAACGAAAGTATTGTGGAGTTGTGGAATACATTCAAATAAAGAGTTCAAATAAAGAGGGGTGAACTAAGATTTTTCCCTTTCAGCAAAATGTGATGATGTCATGTAATCATTTTTTTTACAATGACACAGTTTCTTACTGGCCTTTAAAGTTGGCCATGGAAACTTTAAAAGTTACCTGAGCAGAGTTAAATTGGGTCGAAAGACTTTTTGTGATTGGAGCTCTGGTGCCAAGGAAAATGTTGAACACGTTGTAAAGTCCTTATTTTATTGTAACCAATTATTTTAAGTTAAGAGACTTTCTTTTCCCTTCTAATTTCAGTTTCCTGCCAGAAAGTAAATTTTAATGACATAATATGCAAATCTAAGTGATTTCAGAAGCAGTATTTAAGTAGCGGTTTTAAGAGTTCGTGAGGTGTGGTAGCAGAGTTAGTTCTGAATTTATGCTGCATGTTTTGAAATACCTCTATAGTTGGTGTTAGCCATGCTCTTCAGATTATATTGATATTCTAGGCTTGGCTTTGCTGTGTGCAGCTGATTTACCGGCTTATATAAATAAGAAGCCAGTTGTTTAGTCATCTTAATTTATTGTGATTTTATATTTTTATTTTCTGTTCAAGTCAGCCACTAGTGGTGGTAATTGTGAGTACCGAGTGTGTGCAACCTTTATTTAGTTCAAATAAAAAAGTTATTTAAACCTTCACCTGCAGTATCTGTTTTTCAAAGATATAGCAAGAATTTGCTATGCAATCTTTTTCTGCAGAGCCTACAGTGAATGCTCCTGAAAAGAACATGGAGGCGCTATAACTACAGTGAAAGAAAGATCTTAAAATTGGCACTTAAAAATATTAACTGGCCTCCAGATTTTCATCAGTTTATTTTTCAGAGAAGTGCATTTAACTATTTATATGAATTATTGTAATCCTTCATAATTTTTTTTTTTTTTAAATTTTTCCTTTACTGTTATTTTTTTGTATTATGTTTCATATTTACTTCTCTAAGTCCCATGTTTACTATGGTACAAAGGGAATTGCTGGCATTTTTAATAAGAGCTGTTACTTATTGGAAATAAGAGAAAACATCCAATGTTTTGAATATTTCTGATGAAGTCTGTCAAACTGTTAAAAAAGAAATATTTCTGCTGTACCAAAATTTGATCAGTTTATTCCTAAGAAAGTTTGTAATTCAGAAATTCACTGGTAGAGGACTTATTGTGCTTTTATTTGAAGGTTGGTAGAGAAACTATCAATAGCAGTGATGATCCAATCTTCAGACAAGAAATGCCTGCTGCATTACAGAGAGTTGAAAAGGCTTCCAAACTTCTTGAAGAAGCTTCTGTTATGCTTGGATGTGATCCATACTCTCAACCTGCCAGAAAAAAGTTAATCGAGGGATCTAAAGGTATTTGTACTGTTACAATACTTAAGTATTATTGCAACCACCTTAATAAAGGTAGCCAAATTTTCAGAAGTCGCCAAACTCGGGCAACCATGCCCACAACAGTTCTTTAGGTAACCACATCCATTATAAATTGCAGTCCAAAACTCCACTGAACAGCTTTATTTCTGGAAAAAATTGTCACACTATGTCAAGGTGGTTGTTTTAATACATAAGTACCTTAATAACTAGCTTTTGTTGATGGTCAGTTTATGAAGTCGTGTTTTTCATTGCTTTCATTTTATTTTAAATTATGCTTTCATTCATTTTCTGTGACTAACTTCCCACAAAGCATTTTTGGCAATCAGTGCTAAAGTATTGTTAATCAAAATGCAATACTTCTGCAAAGTACGGCACTCACTGAAAGGATGAATCTATGTCTAAGTAAAAAGGAAGCTAGTTATACTATATGTTTCTTGAACAAAAAGTTGCAACATGAATTTGTATTCAGTGCATAAATCATGTCATGTGATATTGCATTTTGGCTGAACAATGACTGTTGTTATTATTTTTTTTTTAGAGTTGAGAATATTGATTTGAACTGAATATTGACCAATTTCAAATCAAAAAGAGAAATGTATTTTTATGTTCAGGCTGTAGAGTAAGTCAGAATATATCCAGTATTAGTAATAAATTTGGTATCTTTTGGTTAACAGTATAACTAGGAACCTGCTATAAAAATTGATGCACTTGGAACCTGCTATAAAAATTGATGCAAAATCTAGCTTGAAATAGGTATTGTAATCCTAACGATGTATAAAGCTTCATGAAAGGAGTAGCTAATTTATTACATCTACAAAATAACCACAAAAACAAAGATAAGTACTGGAATTCACAATGTAAACTTAGCTTCTTACAGCCCAGTTTTTTTCATTATAGCACTATTTCTCGTGGCATAATCTTTAAGTTGGATGATTATGATGCTCTGGTATTAAAAAATACAGTTTCAAATGTTTTCATAAAAATCTTTCAATATGGATAACATCTCTGTTTTGGAAGAATTTAATTGTGACTTTACATCATCTGGCAGGTTTCAAATCATATAATCTATGTTGATTTGCTCTGTCCTTTTTTTTTTTTTTTTATTAAAGGAAATATACTTCAAAATAAGTAGTTGAAGCATTTGGCAAAAAATATAGGAACTTGCTTGGGCTTGCCTAAGCCCTGCTTAAGCCCTGCCTACTTGAATATCTCCAAGCAATTATCTCTACATGTCTGCAGTGCTGTGCCAATCCATCAACACAGGGATATGTATCTCTCGCGTATCACATACGTGTCTGCCATTCCTGCAAGAGTGAGAGTTGCAATCATTGCACACGATAGGATACATTGTAACCAGAGACATATTTGGTGACAGCCAATGAAATTGTATGCAGAAATCATGTCCTAAAAGCCTACTATTATTATCATTTAGCTTGTAGAGACATTAGGTAATTTGGAAGCAGAAAAGATAAAAAATGAGCAACCACCTTCGCCGGGAATAGAACCGTGAACCTCTAGAATATGCGCTCAGTGTGCAGACCACCACACCGAGAAGGCGGGAGAAATACCTTATATACTCCCCCTTTTAAAGGGCAACTGGGGTTTTCAGGGGACCCAGTCGCCAAATCCTGGGTAAGGAGAATCATCATCCACAGTCCTTTTAGTTCAGGCGTCACTGTAGAGACATTATGATTTTTTGGAAGCAAGAGAGATTGAAAAATGAGCAACCACCTTCGCTGGGTATCAAACCGCGGACCTCTGGAAAACGCGTTCAACGGGCATACCACCACACCACGGAGGCATGCCAAGAAGGTGGAAGAAATACCTTATAAGCTTACTGAATAACATACATTGCTAATCATTTGGAGTTTTTATTATTTGAACAAACTTAATTTATGATGCAATATTTCTTTCAAATTTTAATTTCTGGTTTATTTCTTTATAAATAGAATATATTTTCACCTTGATACAAGTGATTTGTCATTGTAAACTATACAGTGGTGTATTTTTTTATCTCCTTTTTAGCAATAACTAAATCTAATAGAATATTTTTTCTGTTTAAGGGAATTAAGGCACTTTTCTGTTTTGCCGGCACAAATGATAAAGTCGTCAATAATGGTACAACTGATGCCAAATGGAATATCTTCGCTGGTAATCTTTTACCCTTCATTTTCAAAACAAGTCACAGACATTTCTTATCAGATTGATTGTTTCTTTCAATACTGGCATACAATTACATAGAATTTTGACAAGATAGTTAAATTTTATGCTCTAAGACCATTCACGGTAATTAATTAGGATGCAATCACACCACTCACCCGAAGGCGAAAATATAGAAAAGACAAAATCAAGGGTTAACTTCATCAAATCTAATGAGAATGCACTAGCAAAGTAAAGTACTGCGGTTTTATATAATTTCTGAGTAAGCTATTCGCATAAATTGAAATAATTGTTGCATTTAACTTGTATTCCATAAGATTTAATTTAAGATTTAACTTGAAATTGGTGTAGATAATTACTGAGAGAATAAGTTTTTTGTAGCGTAGTTTACGTGAGATAAGATCACTTGGGGTCACGTGATACGAACCGACGAATTAGGATGTTGAACCAAGAAAGCATAGTAAATTAATGTCTTTTTACAAATTTATTGGCTTTTTATAAAATTTTAAACCATATTAAAATGTTTATGCCTTCGAAATAAAAAATTCTTAGAACTAACATTTGTTAACATTTTTTATGTGTATACTGTATGCTGTCGCCAACAAAGTGTGCTTGGCAAGATTTGCGCCGGTGAAACTGGAAAATACCGGAATTAATTTATCATCTGATTGTGCTTGATTTTATTTCTGATTTTCTTATTGTTAATGATTTTTCAACTGTTAGACTCTAGGCACATTTACCAAAGTATTTCAATTTCCCATGAACCAGCAGATTGTGAATTCGAAACTAGCTGAGCTATTTTCTGAATTTTTCCACTGAAAATAAGTGTTTTATTTCTTCTGTCTTCTGTAATTAACAGAATTCTATTCATATGTAAATTATTAAAATTTTACATGTGGTATATAGTAATTTCATGTCATTTTATTATTATGGTACTTTTCTGTTTCGCTGGCACAAATCTCACCAAGCAGACTTTATTGGCGACAGCATACAGTATACACATAAAAAATGTTAAGAAATGTTAGTTCTAAGAATTTTTTATTTTGAAGGCATAAGCATTTTAATATCATTTAAAATGTTGTAAACAGCCAATAAGTAAAGACAGTAAATTTGTAAAAAGACATTAATTTAAGAATTTACTATGCTTTCATGGTTCAACATCCTGATTCGCCGTTTCTTAGCACGTGACCCCAAGTGATCTTATCTCACGTAAACTACGCTACAAAAATCAAATCGAAGTGTCTCAGTAATTATCTACATTAATTTCAAGTTAAATCATAATTCCAAATGCAAGTTTAAATGCAAAAATTATTTCAATTCATATGTATAGCTTACTCAGAAATTATGTAAAACTGCAGTGCTTTGCTTCGCTAGTGCATTCTCACAAGAATTGATAAATTAAATTTTTAACTTTGCCTATTCTATATTCTCTCAGTAGACTTGAGGAATTTAACACTTGACTTTGCCTTCGGGTGAGTAGTGTGATTGCATCCTAGTTGACTTAATTATTGCGAATGGCCTTAAAGCATAAACTTGAACTATCTGGTAAAAATTCTATGTAATTGTATGTCATATTGAAAGAAACAATCAATCTGATAAGAAATTTTCTGAGACTTGTTTTAAAAATAGGCGTAATAGGTACCAGTGAATATATTCCGTTTGGCATCAGTTGTACTATTATTGGCGACTTTATCACCTGCGCCGGCAAAATGGAAAAGTACCATTATGGTACATAAAATTTTATATCAATTAATTATTAGCATAATTATTTATAAATTATGTAAATATAATGACTAGATTTTTACATTATTTATAAAGTGAAAAAATTTGTTTTCTTCTTTCTTGTACTTAAAAAAAAAAAAAAAGGTGTTATTATGACTATACCTATCAGCAATGTGTATTACATTTTATGCTAGATAATATATATATATATATATATATATATATAAATTTATTTACTAAAGATCATGCAACATTATATATATATATACACATACATTTTGTAATTGCCCTCCTTTTCCGTTTCATTAATTTTTTAAAAATTTACAATATTTAATTATTTTTCATTTTTATTCACATTTTTTATCACTATTACTTTCTGTTTGCTTATTTAGCTTTCTATTTATTATAACTGTAATTATTATTACAAATTATTCAAAGAATTAAGTCCTGAAAAATAAAAGCATTAAAAATTTTTAAATTTATTATGTTTGTTGGGAAATTGATGAAGATCTCCTATTGGATACAAATCACATTCATCTGCTTTGACTGCTGTGATAATCTTAATAGCTCAGAGAAATTTAGATACAAAAATCTCTCTGTATAGATGAAATGCTATTAAGCAACATATCTGTAAGGGAGACTTGTTTGGAGGTATGTCTCATCATGTAGGTAGGGCTTTAACCCTTCACGACAGCGCACCTTTGTTTAACACGCTCCTGTGGGACGGAAGGGAATCGAAGGCAGTCACTGTACAAGATGGAAGTTTTGCATTGCTAAGCCTAATTTTGTAAAAAAAATCAGGAAAAAAAAAAAAGTTTCACTTCTAGCATTGTAATTTTTGGTATCATTTTAGATTATTATTTGAGCTCTTATGTATGTTAAAATTAGCACATAATAACGTTTTTTTCTTTATTTTGCGTGAAAATATACTTAAAAAATTCCTTATCTCGTAAGATGCATACAGAAGGAAATTTTTAGGTGTGTCCAGACCGGACACACTATGCCACAAAGGGTTAAGCATACTGCTGAGTGTAGTAATCACAATAAACACACTAAAAGCCTGTTTTGAACATTGGAATCTTTTATATGCTTCTCTGCTTAGTAACAAAGAGTTTCTAATAGGAATTGCCATTAGAAGTTTGATAGTAACATCCCATTTTTCTTTCTATGAGCTGTATCAAGGTTGGTTTAAAATTATAGAGGGCTGAAGCACTTAGAAGATTTTGTTGCCCCCATATATATTTACACCAGTTTTTCTTCCTTCATTCCTTCTTTCTATTTAACTGCACTGGGAAAACTGGCAATGGGAAATTTTTAAGTGTCCCTTTCCTGAATATTTAAGGATCTTTTTATGGTGTTCCTTTTCCTTAATACCTAAAGCACATGCTTATATTGCTTACTGGTTAATCTGGTTTGATGTGGCCAAGGATAAATTCTTGGAACAAAAAGAGGGATACAGTGATGGGGGAGGTGTGTCTTCTGAAAGAGAGGCATGTAATTCTACTCACCTTTTAAAAGTTATCAAAAGGATTTCCAGAGTTCTGTGCATACTTTTTGATGACTTAACGTCTCTCATCTGCATAATTTTTCAAAAGGGATGTTAAAAAAATATATATAAAACTTTTTCTGTTATTCGAGCTTTTTGGTTAGTTGAATGCTGGGTAGTTGGGCTTTTACTATATTTGTGTAACAGTTACAATGCAGAAGTATTCTGGTGTTCTAGAAAAAGTCTGATTTTACTGTGCAAATTCTACTCTATATGCCAAATTAATATTTACTTCATATATTTTGTACTGGATTTGCCATCAGAGCATTGTTTTGAAATGTGAGCCACCATTAAACATTCAAAATCTCAGATGTAGTTAAATAACAGTATTATTTTGAAATACTGTTAGTTATGTAAGATGTAGTTTAGTAGTGATATTATTTTGAAAGAAAAAAGGGCTAAAAGTCACTTAAATAATGAATTATCTAACTCAAACCTCCTATTGACGCCAGTGATAAGTATTTGGACACTGACTACCAATAAGTATTTGGACACCTATGCAATTGACGATATCTGCGGTCCTAAGGTACGTCACGGACTCTGCCGGTATATATCGTGTAGGAAACAGCATCGGCTTTAGTCGCATGCAAGATGCCTCGCAGTTCGAAGCTCTCTGATTTCGAGAAAGGTATAATTATCGGGTATCACAAATGTGGCCGATCCTCAAGGGACATATCTAGCGGTCTGAAGTACCCAAAATTGACAGTGGCATTTGTGATTAAGAAGTGGAAGGTGAGCGATGATTGTCGGAATGTGCCCCGAGTCGGCAGACAAAAGAAACTGGGAGGTAGAGACCGATGAAACTGGGAGATAGAGACCAATGAAACTGGGAGACAGAGACCGACGAGAGCTATCCAGACAAATTCGGAAGAACCGCACCCAACCGATGGCCCTCATCCGCGAGGAGTTTCAAGAGGCCATCCGGGATTATTGTTTCAATGAATACCATCCGTAAGGAAGCACATCTGCTTGGTTTTTCATGGGCGTGCTGCTGCTCATAAGCCTTTGATCACAAAGTCCAACCACGCTGCTCGGTTAATGTGGAGCAAAACACATCGAAATTGGACCGTAGATCAGTGGAAACAGGTTCTTTGGAGTGACGAATCAACGTTCACCCTTTACCGTTCGGATGGCAGGGTCTGGGTCTGGCGTCTGCCTGGAGAACGTCTCCTGCCAGAATGCATTGTGCCAACAGTCAAGTTCGGCGGAGGTGGAATTATGGTCTGGAAGTGTTTCTCCTGGTATGAACTGGGACCCTTGGTCACCATTCGTGGTAAGCTGAACTCCGATGCCTACTGCACTATTTTGGATGACAATATTTTGGATGACAATATTTTGGTGCAATTCCTATTTTGGATACTGTTTTGGATGGTTCCTACGTTGCGGCAGTTTTACGGGTTGGACCCCTGTTACTTTCAGGATGACAATGCCAGTTGTCATGTTTCGATGTTAACCAAGGCTTGGTGTGGTGCCAATGGAGTTCATCGAATGGACTGGCCTGCCCAGAGTCCAGACCTGAACCCTATCGAGAACCTCTGGGATGAGTTGCATCGCCGAATTCAGGGGTGCACTACCCGTGCAAAATCGGTGAAGGAACTTCTATGTCTTCTCCAAGCCGAGTGGAAGAAAATGCCAATAGCTGTCATACAAAGACTTGTGGAAAGTATGTCCCGGAGGGTCCACTCTGTAATTACCTGTCGTGGAGGCTGTACCAACTATTGATTTGAATACAGTTAGTTTTTCGTTTCTATCACAGGTGTCCAAATACTTATTGGTAATCAGTGTATTATCAGGTTGTAGTTGAAAGATGTCTTTATTTGTAGTATTCAGCGATATGAAATTAATTTTGATAAATACGCAACAATTTCGCTTTGATTACACTGTTATTTAATTTTCATATAATTCAACTCTTGATGCATGAAATAAAGAAATTTGCCAGAGTCTGACTCTAGTGTTTTTCAATTTTGGGGTGAAATTATAATTCCAGAGCTCCAAAAAGATGAGTTTTGGTATTTTAATTTATTAAACATAATCTCATTATTTTTGTAATTTGTATTTATCGCTTTACATTTTATTTAGTCTTCATTAAGAATTATTAATTGTATTTCATTTACCTTTTCTGATGACCATTTGCAGAGCTCTTGTCCTACTAATGTTAGAAATTAAGCTGTGGCTTTAGTAAATATAAAGAACTACACTGGTGTGCAAAAATTAAGGACGAAGTCGAAAAACTAGCATATCAGCTGAACGAAGAGGCAGAGAGGACAGAAAGACCAATCAGGAGATTAAGTAAGATGATGTACGGTAGCACATGCGCAGATATGCAGGTAGACGTAATGGGGGAGTGTCTGAGTAGTGTAAAGCATTTTGTCGGTGTAAGATCAATATTTCTGACAAAGAGATTGCACGCCGTATAGCATTTAAAATCACACCGAGTTGCTGCCTCAGCGAGAAATGGCGAATAATCAATCTGTTAGACGATATCTGGATGCTTTTACCCGAGGTCGAATCATTGGGAAGTTGGAGGAAGGCCGCAGTGTGACAAGTGTGGCTGCAGAGTTCGGAATTGCTCACAGCAACGTTTCACGACTTTGGAGACAATTTCAACTACAGGAACAGCTATCCGGGGGTTTAGTAGTGGTCGTCCACGAGGAACTACACCCGCAGATGATCGGTATATTGCCTTACAGGCCAGAAGAAACAGGTGGCAGACAGCGGGAGAAATCGCTAGACACACGACACAGGCGACTGGACGACCGATATCGCGTTTTACCGTGGCCAGAAGAGTGCACGGTGGTGGTCTGTTTGCACAACGCCCTGTACGGTGTGTACCTCTAACGCCTGCCCATCGGAGAAGGCGTTCTCTGTGGTGCCGGGAACACCGGAATTGGAGAGACAATGAATGGGGATGAGTACTCTTTACAGATGAGAGCAGATTCAGTCTGAGTAGCGATTCTCATCGCATACTCATCTGGAGAGAGTGGGGAAGCCGCAATCATCCCTCGAACATCATTGAAAGGGACAGGTATGGAGGTGGCGGGCGGTGTTCTCGTTTTGGAAGGCATCATGCTTGGTAGTCGTACAGACCTTCACATCTTTGACGCAGGTTCAGTCAACGGGACCCGTTATTGTAATGAGATTCTTCTTCCATATGTGCGTCTGTTTAGAGACGCTATGGGTCCGCAGTTCCTTTTCATGGACGACAATGCACCATGTCATCGCACAGTAGCTGCCGAACAGCTCTTAGAGAGTGAGGATATTGAAAGTATGGATTGGCCGGCACGATCTCCGGATCTCAATCCCATCGAGCATGTATGGGATTTTCTTGGCAGACGCTTGGCAGCTCGTACCTTACCACCAGTAATGATTCCGGAGCTTCGATTGGCGCTGCAAGACGAATGGGCAGCAATGCCTCAACAACTCATTGACACCCTCATTCTCAGTATCAGCAGACGCTGTGAAACCTGCCTAGCAGTCAGGGGAGATCATATCCCCTTTTAAAGACCGGATGTTTCTTGCTGGACACCCATCACAGGGATGTTTCGGCCTTCAGTCGCATTGCGTTTCATGCTACTTTTTCAATAAAGCTTCTTTTTATCCCTCTGATTTTCTTTTAGTAAGTGTGCTTACATTACTCATGTCCTTAAGTATTGGGGATCTTACGGTATTAAATGTGTTGATTTGGAAAGCTTTTGTACAAAGTTATATTGAAAAAACCGTCTCGTCCTTAATTTTTGCACACCAGTGTACAGTACAGAAGTGTACAATGTAGCAAAAAATCTTTATTTTAACTGTTGTGTTATATTTTTTAGGTATTCTTAAGGATACATATGCTCTTTTATTATGTTTTGATGAGTCTGAAGTGCGAAAAATCATTAGAGAATGCAAAAGGGTACTTGATTATCTTGCTGTTGCTGAAGTGATTGAAAGTATGGAAGATTTAGTGCAGTTTGTTAAGGTATGTTTATATATATTGTTTAATTAGGAATTATCTGTAATTGATTTTATGTAGTTTGTTTACATTTACAGAAAAAATATTGGCCATTTCCATGCATGGGCGAATCCATGCTGATGCCAGCTGATTGATTGAGGTATGACATTTAAAATGAGTCATAGCTCCATCTCTATCTTATTGATAATCACTGATGTATTTTTCTTGCAAATGAGAAACAGTCAAGCTCAAAGCTTTATTGATAAATGGATATCATGTTCTGAATATTCAGAATATCAAATAAAATCAATTCAGAATATCAATGAATATCAAATAAAAATGTCATAACAGAAGTATTTACCAAATCATTGACACCGTGGTAAAAAAATTCCCTCATTTTTAATCTGCACCGAGGTAAAAAAGATGATTTCCCTCAACTTCTCTTTGAATTTCATGACTAATGTGGTTCTATTTCTTGAGCTTTGTTACTTCATGAAATTGTTTAGTGCTGCTTTTTTTTTTTTTTGTTTTATCTAGATATTTTTGTAGATAAACTTTGTAATGAAAGTTTTCTGCCAAAAAACGTTTTGTTTGTTTATGGGGTAGGCAGCTTAACTACCTGAAATTACAGTACTTTGTTTTTCCATCACTGCTTCCTTTTACCACTGTACCTTTTACCACTGTTAAACTATGCTTATTTATGAATTTGCGTAGTTTCAGTGTGTCTACATGATTAGTCTATTAACATGTTTTTAATGTATCCTAATGATAATTCACTTTCTGATTTTCTCTGAGTAGCAGTTATTAGTGTTTTAACAATTTGGCAAAGCACATAGTAAAACGATTCATAAATTGCCCTATTTCATTTCTAAGCCGATACTATGCATACTTTGCCCATACATTTCAGATAATTTGAAACTGTTTCAATATATTCTTGTATTTTTAAACTTTCATTATGCTCAATAAAGTACATTTCCTAGGAATAAATGGTTTGATAAATTTATGACAATTATTTTGCATCAGTTGGCAACAACCTTTTCTTGTATATGATTTTCGTATATAGAGATTTTATAGAATGTTTTAAAGTAATGATATTTTGCTGAATTTTATCACAAACTGCAAGCAATAATGCCTTTTTGTGTCTTGCCAGGGGGAATGAAAAGATGTAGAGTTAGATCTTTTACACAGAGTATCGAAAAAGTGCTAGGACAAAGTTTATGTAATCAAAAGTTAAACAAGCAACATTTTGACTTCTTAACCTTGAGTATACAGTCATCTAGAGCAGTGGTTCTCAACCCTTTTTTGTCTTATACACCCATTTCACCATTGCTAGACCATGATCCCCCCTTCCTTTTCCAAACTCAGAAAATGCGTATACATTTATATAAATTTAGATTATTTTTAATATGTTGTATATGTTATTTTGTTTCAGTTGTTTCCATTGTAATTTTTCTCATTTTGCTATTCTTAGCGCAGTACAAAGTCCTATATCCAGACCTGTCAGAACTTCGGCAATTCTGGATTTGGGATTTTTCTGGATATTAGATCATTAGTTTAAATCTAATAAGATGGCATGTGGAAATCATAAAATTAAAAATATGAAACCGTGATTTATGATCTAAAGGGTATCGAAATTTACAATGTTTACTTAATTAAACATTTAATATGTAAAAAATTTGAATGTAATTCATTGAAGTTGCTTCCTTTTTTGTGCTAATACTTTCTCATCAGTTCTATAGTCAGACGTAATTTTTTGTTCAGTTAGAAAGTTTCACTGTTCAAGTTGTGAAGTAGTTGCTGTGCCGAGAATGCCGACTAATTTCGCAATCGAAATTTTTTCCTTTTTAGTAACCTCCCTGTCACTTTATTCACTATCATCAGTGGTATTTTCTAGATCTTGAACCATATACAGACTTCGGCGTCCCTTGATTGATTGATGATTGGAGCATTGTCATCGCAATGAAAAACTTCTGTTATATCATCTTCACTTATTACCGCTTGTCCACATTTCTTCACAAAATCCATTAATTAGAAAATTTCACCTGTGGTTTACAATATCCAAAAGCCTTAAAATTTGCGTCTATCATCATCATCGTCACCATGAAATATGGTAGCTAGCCATGAATTATGCCAAGCACTTTTTAAAATATCTGAAGGCACATTTTCCCACGATCTTGTGATGCTCCACACAGAAGATTTTATGCTAAAATATTTCAAAAATTCTTGAATAATTTTGACATTATTCAAGAAATTTAACAGATTTTAAAAATACTACTTTATATTTGCATTTCAGCACGCACTGTTCCAATATCCATAGGCTGAATATGGTCGTAAGTTTAAAGGAAAAATAACACGGATATATTATCTTTCCTTAAGACTTTAAGTGAGCTATGAGCTGAACAGTTGTCTTGAATCAGGAAATTTTTGCGTCATCAGGTAAAACAACCAAATTCAAATTTTGCCATTCCTTGTGTATGAAATGATTTTCAAACCAATCGTACATTAACGCTTTGTTAATGTACATGCTCTTTAATTTGCATGATATATAATGGGAAAATATTAACTTCAAATGCTCGAAGTTATGTATTTTTCCAGTTATGATAAGTTCACCCTTGTGCTTTCTTTAGCATTTGTGAATGCCGAAATTGTTAGTTTCACTTTGGAATCTTTGACATCAGTTGAAGCCTTTCTTGTAGAGATTGCCAAGGTATTTCATGGTACATATTGCCAGAAATGTCCAGTTTCATCAGCATTGTAAATTTCTCCTGGAGATAACGTTTCACTATTAATGAGTTCAATGAATTCATCTGCAAATAGTTCAGTACCAGCTGAAGCTTTTTCACTTAAAATTTTTAATTGCATTATACCATGGTGATTTTAAAATTTGGTTAACGAATTTCTGGAATGTGTGCACTTAGTTTTTAAGTTCATTTTTCATGAAATATTTTGGCTTGAGCCATTATTAGCATTGCACCATCAATGAAATGCACTCACTGTGTCTCTTTCTGACCATTTTACTATCAGTTTATCATGATTGTCACTTTGACTTTCCAATGCCAAAGTCCTAGCATAATTTTGAGACAAATACACCTATATCCATTTGCAGCAATTCCCATTTTTTGTTTAATGGACATCAAAACATGCTTTAGCTTTGCAGATCCTTTTTGCAGCTCCAGAATTAGAAACTATTTTCAACATAATCGAAAGTTCAATCTTGAATTTTCATAAAATTGCTGTAATAATAAGAGTCTGCAAAAAGTAATAAGCTGGATCAAATTAGAAGATTAAAGAAGAGCACAACCTGCTATATTAAGTGAAATTCCTTAGAATCAGTAAAGTAGAATTTTAGACTAACTTAATAGTGTCCACTGTTCATTATTGGCTATGTATCATGAGATTGGTGAGAGAAGAGAAGTTGTTCCGATAAATTTTGTCTCACTTCTATTGTGCAATGAGACAATTAAGCCTGAATTGTATTAATTTAGTTATTTATTATACTTACGTCTAATTCTTGCACATTCTAGAAGCTTATCTGAGTCCTGAATAAATTACTTAAGCTTACTGAGGGCTGGCACTAGATATTTTGCCGCCTGATGCCTCTGCGAGTCCTGAATTCTGCTACCAAGCGCTTTCATAAGTTCTAGATTTTTGACACTTCTTAATTTTGAGTCTTAAAATTTTATCATCCTTTAATTTTGAAACTCAGTGCTTCTCTAAATTCCCAAAATTTCTTTTCCTTAAATGTTACCACCCGCTGCGGCAATGCAAGCTCTGTCACTGGTTTTGGGTGTATGTGAATAAAAATTCAGTTATTCTTAATTCAAATAGCACTAAATGTAATCTTTTGGCTTATGAGTATCATTAACAAAATCTATTTTTAGTATAATGCAAAGAAATTTTTGTTAAATTTTTTCCTCGTCAGCATTTAGCACATTTAACTTGAATCTATAATCATGGTGAAGCGTAATGTCAACATAAAAGGTTTCCATACTCTTTGTTATTCAATCACTAATATAAAAAGAAAGTTTAGTCATCGCTGCATGAGTCGTTACTGAAGTTCTCATATGTTGATAAACATACTGTGATGAAAGCAAAAGCAAAATATAATAAATAATGATTCGCCAGGTTGGGCATCATCAACAATGTTTCTGTGTAGAATGTTTTGGTTAGAGATGTATGCTAAGCAGATATGCAGCAACAGAGCTGAAGAAAATAAATGGGCCTAAACAAATTGTAACATCAATGAACATTTTTAATGAGAGATTAACTTAAACATGGTTGCATACAGCAGAGAAAAGGCGAAGAAGTAAAAAGAATGGTATGCATATACATGTACACGTAATTTAAACATATACGTCATCACCGTGCGGATAAATGTGAACGGCGCATTCGTCAGGAGAAGCGCTTTTAAGCTAAACATCGTATTATAATTTATGATACAACAATCCCCCTTTCGACGTTTGGTGGCTGAAAAAAAATGAGCATTAGTCATTTACAGTTATTCCAATTAATTTACAGCACTTAGAATGTTTCGAAGCAATCAGTGTTTTTGTCAGTACATCAGCAGACATTTTCTCTGTTGGCACGTATTTAACGTCTATTTAATTTCTTTCATAACTTTCACGAATGAAATGATGTCTAATATCTATGTGTTTAGTGTGTGAGTGATAAAAACAGCATTTTTCATAAGCTTCTGTGCACCTTGATTATCACAATATGTAATGGTTGGATAATCAGCAGTAAAATTTAATTCTTTAAGAAAATGACGTAAATAAACTGCCTCTTTAGCATTTTCTGAAAGACTGATGTACTCTACTTCAGTACTTGATAATGCAGTGGTTTGTTGCTTTCGTGATTCCCATGCTATTGGATTTCCAGCAAGCTTGAATAAGTAACCTGTATAGGATTTTCTATTATTAACATCTGACGCCCAGTCAGCATCGGTATATCCAATAAGTGCTTTTCTAGTCTTTCGAAATTTTAAACAATAATTTTTAGTTCCTTTAAGTATCGAAGAACGCGCTTTG